GTGCACGCGCGGCCACACTTCGTGCGCTGCCTGCGCGCCAACGCCGCCGAGACCCCCATGCTGTTCGAGCGCGCCGTCGTCGCCAACCAGGTTAAACATATTTTTATTTGAAAGACTAAAAAAATATTTATCATATACGCATGTGAAACATGGTCTTGCACACAGAAGGTCAGGATAATACTTAAGGCGTTTAAGTTGTGGTGTTGGAGAAGGATGGCACAATAAAGACAGGCGCGAAGTGGAAGCGATCCATGTTTAGTTTGATGAATGTGCGTGTATGAGGCCTACTTTCCACCCTTTTTAAAGGAAAGGATAGGATAAGTGGATTTGATAGTTGAGGAGACGCATAGGTAGCAACGCCTCTGCAATAGCGGATTACTATGGGTAGCGGTCGCCTCCGAATTCGCGAAATCCGCTGGCCACTCACTCTTTTGCCACCTTTCTATATACATACATATATACATATAAAAACACATATAATAAAATTGGAGTGTCTGTTTTAGGGTTGTAACGGAACTCCGCTTCCGCATTGCAAATGTTAAGTCCGTATCCGCTGCCGCTTCCGTTATTTTTTATGCCGAGTTATAACGTAGGTTAATTTACGTCTTTAACGCGAGTGGGGCGATTAGGTATAGTTTACGCGGGCGGGGAGGCGCGGGGAGGCGCGGGGAGGCGCGGCGCGGGCGTGCTAGTGCTACGTCAACTAACTATAGTTTTATACATTATATTTGAATCATAAACTGTATCTTGTAATTATGTACCAATCTATAGTTTGAATTAACGTAGTTTTAGTTTTTATTTCTTTAATAAATCGCAAATAATGTTTTATTATTGACCTCCGCTTCTGCAAAGGTAAAGCCGTTCGCCTCCGCATCCGCTTCCGATAAAATGACCTCCCCCTAGTCTGTTAGTTATATCAAAAGAAAAATTCCAGATTTCGCGAATATGTATTTGCTTTACTGATAGCGGGAATTAAATAAAAATCCGTCTGGTTGTCTGCCTGAATCGGTAAAGGTAAAAGTCATAGTTATAGACCACCATTTTTTTTAATTCCAAGGCAACGAAGTTTGCAAAGAACAACTCGTACTTTAATATATGCAAAACGATCAACTTGAGGCCGTAAAACCATTAGCTAAATTCGTCGTCAGGTGCGGGCGCTGCAGATATTAGAGACTGTGCAACTTATGGCCAACGGGTATCCCCACCGCATGCGGTTCCGCGCGTTCGGCGCGCGCTACCGGGCGCTGTGGCGGCGCGGAGCGGCGGGCGCGGTGGGCGCGGGCGGCACGGCGGAGCGCGAGGCAGGCGCGGCGTGCGCGCGGGTGCTGCGCGCCGTGGCGGCGGCCGCCGCGCCGCCCGCGCCCTGCTCGCCGGCGGCTGTGCGCTGGGCGCTCGGCAAGCGCCACGTCTTCCTCAGCGAGGGCATGCGACAAGTAACAAGAACAAACATTCTACACGCTATACGCTATTCGCTATATGCTATACAGCCAAGTCTTCGATTATCGCCCTCGTCGTTATAACTTTACCTAATGCAGTGTATTCCGATTGTTCTTACTTTTCTATAAACTTTTCATAAAAGATGAAGGTTCAAAATTGCACAGTCGAGTCTTCGTTAATTACTTCTTCGTTGTTTTTTGAAAAAAATATTATAATATATACGGTAGTCATTATGTTTTTTTTTCAACAATGAATTTAAAAATCCTGTAAAACAGGCGCACACACAAAAAAACTATACTCATACGAGTAATTTTATTAATGACTAGTCGTTCGATTCAAGTGCACATACGACAACTTTATTGTTATGTTGATTATGTTACGTGTGAAGGTGCTGGAGCGAATGCGGCGCG